GTGTCACGTCCACCAACTCATTTAATCGCTGAGGAAATTGAGGCTCAGAGACGGGACACGAATCACCCAGGGCTGGACATCCAGAGATTGGCAGAGCTGTTCTTTTGTTTCTCAATGCACTGGCTCTTCTTCCTAAATTTCATTGATTTACATTGAATTCAATTGACTTTAAATCTTACCTTTTAATTCCATTTTAGAGTTTATTTTCCCGTTGCTTTTAGTGACTTGCCCATTTTCTTGGTCCCACAGTTAGCTTTTGGCAACACAGTCTGGAAGCCAAGTTTTCCAGTGTATATTGTGTGTGTTTCTCGGCTGCCCCTCCTGCCACGCATGTGCCACTCAGCATTTCGCATGAGGGCTCCACACGTGGCGCACCTGGGCAGTCTTGGCAGCGTCCTCCCTAGAATTGGTCTAGTCACCAGTGACTCTTCCTACATGACCCTCGACTTCATGGTGGCTGCACCTTGTTCTCTTACCCCAAACTCTTTCTAAATATGAGAGCCTCATCACAAGGGTGACAAGCACAGAAAAAGAGGAAGGCATGAATATTGATAGAAGTTACCCTAGAAACCTAGAGGCAAGAAGAAACAAGTAACTTTTTGAAAATATGCTTTTAAAAAACCAAAGGGAATTAAGCAAAAAAACAACTACACTCACTTTGGCAGTGGCTGCCAAGCCAGGGTTCAGTCTAACAATCCTCTCAAAGGGGGAAATGTTATGAAGTATGAATTTGTATTTTTATACAAGGATAAAAATACTGTATAGTATAACGAAAAAATTTCCTACGTAGTAGTCAAAGATTTTTTTAACCATGTTTTAATGTATTTAATTTCTTATGAAAACAGTTCGCTTGGAAAATAGATACAATCTTAAAGTTATTTATAATTCCACATCCAACACAACTATAGTTAGCATTTTGTTATACAGTATTGACTTCCATTCTTTCCTTGCTGTTAATTTGCTTTATTAATTAATTGTAATTGTAGCATATATTCAAATTTGTATTTTCCTTTTGGTGTTAACATTCCATCAGGATTTATTATGTGTTGCTACCACAGTTTTGTGTTATGTTTTGTTTTTTTTTAGATTAATGAATATGTTATGAGAGAAATGGAGAAGTTCTATGTAAAAAGAGGCAATTACTACCAGAACACTGTGGGTGATCTGCTAAAGTTCATCCGGAATATAGGAGAACACATTAATGAAGAAAGGAATAAAAAGTAAGTATTGTTTTCATTCCTATAAATCATAATGTGAAATGAGAACAATTTAAAGTGTTCATTTCTAAATTCATATCTGCTATGGAAAGAAGCAAACTTATTTTGATGAAAGAAAAATAATGTCTCCCCTTTGTTTACCACTGTGACCTTACAATTAATGATGGACACGTCCAGCACCCTCTCATCACCCTTCTTATCTTTTGCTGGGCCCCATTGAGTAGAAGATAGTGATTTCCTTGTGTGAATTGACACAGGAGACTGGACAGCTGGGTAAAGTCAATGTAGAGTTATAAAAGTCTAAAAATAGCCCCATGTCCGTTTAATCAATTTTTTGCTATGAAAACTGTTAGCTACAAAGTCAAAAAAACTTGCAGTTCGGGGTTCTTTTGGATTTTGGAATTGTAGATAGGGTATTGTGGCACTGTATTATTTCCATTTTATGAATGAAAAAACTGAGGTGCAGACAGATTAAGTGATCAAACTTTGCACAATTTGTTGAAGAGTCAAGAGATAAATCTTGCTCTGTCAGATTCCAAAGTCTTTATTAAATCCTGCTGTAAAAATCAAGAGAGCAAGTCTGGCTGATTAGGCCAGTTGGTTAGGGTGCTATGTTACAACACCAAGGTCAAGGGTTCAGATTCCCCATACCAGCCAGCTGCCAAAACAAAAAATTCTCTTCCAAAAATCAAAAGAGCAAGCAGATCTCTTGAGCCATATTCTGTGAAGGGCAGGGGCAGGGTGGGGGAGAATCTGGGGCAAGCAGATAAACCATTTGTGTTTCATTTCAGGATAAAGTTGAAAATTGGAGATCCTTCCCAGTATTTTCAGAAGACATTTCCAGATCTGGTGATCTATGTCTATACAAAACTACAGAACACAGAATACAGAAAGCATTTTCCCAAAACCCACAATCCAAACATGCCTCAGTGTGAGGGATGTGGTGGGGGCAGCGGGGTGGCCAGCCCTGAATGCTGACCCACTGAGTCTTTCCAGTCCAGGGAGCCACTTATTAGCTGTAGTGTAGTCCTTGGCAAGTTGCCACTCTCTGGGCCTCTTAACTAACCCAGTTGCTTGTGAGGGATGGTGGATAGCTGATAGGACAGTTCCTGGTAAAGTACATTCCATGCATGTTTGTAACAAAAGCAGTATACTCATATGCCTAAACTACACCAGTCCATTTTAGCTGGTAAAGCTCATTGGCAGAAACTGAGATGGCATTCAAAGATTCCTTTTGTCAATTGCACCAAAGAGGTGAGTGCCTAGACCCCTAATGCTATATGTTTCACAACAATTATCTCACTTAATTCTCCCAGTGACCTGTAAAACAGGATTTATTATTCCCTTTTAAGAACTGAGGAACCTGAGACTCAGAGAGTTTGAGCTACTTGCCCAAGATCATACGACTTGTTCAGAACACTGTATAAATGGATGTGGTTTTACTGTTCCCTCTCTTGGGCATCTTAGAGCTTAATTAGCAGCCCAGGGCTCTTTTGCATGAGACCCAAAAGGAACTATGCCAAAGAGGCTTTAGGAGGCCCATTCATTCATTCACTTGTTCAATCAGTATTTGTTAAACACAAGTATAAGTCTAGGACTAGCTGC